GTGTCTATCTGCACTAAAACCTGATTTCTGTCAGCTCTTGCTGTAGTTCTCTGATAACTGGGTAGATTAGAGATGTTTGGTTTACAAGTGGTGTTAGTGGTGATACAAAATATCTCCATRATATGAGAAGTATCTCCACTCTGATCTGCAATGTCTTTCTTGGGGGACCATGCCCCTATGATGATTAACATCCCAATGGTCTTGTTTTGGTTTCTTTTTATTGCCTAGAGTTCTACTGAATTTATTTCCACACCAAAATGTCTATARTCTCTAAATCTTCATCTGTAATTACTAGCTGTAAATACAGTGTAAGAGCAACAGTGTGCTGCTAGTAGTTATTAAGCCATGCAGCACCATGACAGAACTTTTACCTTAAGATAATTTTTCATGTTTTTTTACTCGGCCTTGACATAAGTTAATAGAGGTCTGGGTTTTGGTTGTTTTTTTTGTAGGGTTTTCCCCACCTAAGTGCTGTTTTACTCTGTCCATTCCTGAACTGGAGATACTGGCAGCAAAAGGGATGTGTGAAATCATCTCCCTGCCTTGGTAGTTTACCTGGGAATAGTCTCACATAGTAGTTAAATACTAGGAGCAAGTCACATAAAGGTTGTAGGTTTAAGGCAATTGCTAAAATGTTGCTTCCAAACCAGTTATTGGCTAACATGCATGGTGGTGCTATTAATCCTTACATCTCAAAAAGTGTTCTTCTTGCTCTGTTTTAAAATACTTGAGAAGGAGACTTGCTTGTATGTGTGCTGTTCTCTGCTTCTGTGAAGTTATTTTTTTACCTGCTTTAATCARCTTCCTATATCCTAGATTTCCTTATCACTCCTAGCTCCCCTGCCCTCCCAGTCTAAGTGGGAAAAGGCTTCCTTTGCTGCAGTGACTGAGCAGACTGGTCTGCAATCTTGACATGCCCCTTTGATGCTTCTGGTGTCAGGTGCTGGTTTTAAATGTCTGTCTCTTAATTAGACTGATCCTAGAGAATGCTGTTGGAGTTGGATTAAATGTCTGGTTCTCCAGGAGCTCTGKGTGTGTGGCTGGATGTCTCTTATCCCTTGTGCTCTGTCAGCAAAGCCATTTGCTTGTTTCCCAGCCTGCTGCAGATGAAATCAGCTGACCTTATTTAAACCACCTATTTAAATTATATCCATTAAGGTGGTTGATTTTGGCTTAAGTGGATCAGGGATTGTTCAGGAGAGTGATGGTAGAAGTGCTGTTAGATACAACTGCCTCAAATTTCTTCTGTTTGCAAAGTAAAATCTCTGTACATCTTAACCAGTAGTAAAGCCTGTTGGAAAGAGAAAACTGACCCAGAACATCTATCTGGGAGTTGTCTTCTCCATTCTTCACCATGGGGCTTGGCAGTGGTGTTGGAGCCTGCTTGGACAYTCAGCTTTGGTATTTGCCAGCTGAGCCTGTCCAAAAATACTTAAAGGCTCTACACCCACTTTCAAGACTATTTACAGTGCCTTGTGAATCAGTGGAGAGGATTTTCCAGGACATGTGAGGATTTGTCCAGTAGCTTGATGAAATCGTCCGGTGGCTGTTAGGTTCTGCTCTCAAGATCTTTGCTGGGCATTGTGTAGATTGTGAATGTTAATTCTTGTGTTTGGCATTTAACCCACATTAAAATCACAGTGCTACCAGGGCCCTTTAGTTCTGAGTATGGGAAGGAATTTTGCTTTTCTGCCTGTATTCAGTGCTTCAAAAGAGCAGGGAAGGGTTGTGGTCTGTTACAGGTGAGTTTTACCTTTGTACCTTCCAACCTGAGAGACCAGTGAGCGATGTCACAYCATTCTTAGAGCTCAGCACAAGATGTTTTTGCATAATCGCTGTCATGGTGATCCTCGTTCAAACTTGTGCAATAGAAATACCAAGCTTTCTACACTGAAGGGAAATACTTCGTGAAATTTTTCAAAGGTTCAATGAAATTGTAATTAATTAAGATACTGATAGTGCCTTTCAGATGGAAAGTAATATCTTTTTTAGTCTATTGCTGTAAACCTAAGCAACTCTCTGGATATTATATTTTATGCTGGAYAGGACTATATATCCCTTTTAATACCTTTAAGAATTGTATTTTAAATTATTATTAAATCAGGATGATAAGACCTTAATTTTATATATATAAAATAAAAATCTTATTATTTTGTTTCCAGCGTTGCCTTGAATTTCTATCTAAATAATTTTTAAATGCTTAAATATTTTTTATCATTCTAAACCTGTGATCTTTTTTAATGCATTATGTTTTCTTGATCTAAGGAACTTTATAAAATATTTTGTAATAATTTTTTAAAATAAAGGTTTAGTAAATAACTTACATGTTTCTTGTTTTTGCTTCTATCATTTGGTGTTGCTATGTAGTTCTCCCAAAGCCAGGCGTAGGAAATAACATCATTCTTTGTTCCTGGTTTGGAGGAAAGASCTTGCATTGTGTTTAGCTGTTACTGGGGAATAGGGTCCAACTTGCAAAGTTGGATATTCTCACTGGAAGTTCCCAGGAAAAAAGATCTGATAAGGTCAATAGTCCCACTGACCACAGTGTCCAGAGGACATTACAGTAACCTTTCCATACTGTGGTCTATAGCTTACTGTGAGAAGCACAATCCCACTGCTGCTTCCTATTGTATTGACTACATGGGACTGAAAATATAAAGGGGCAGACTTGTTAAAAGGAGGAGCACAACCTAACGAAATGTTTTGAAAGCAAATAATTTATTCTGGTGTAGAAAAATGCAGATCACTGACTTRCTTGGTTGAGGGGGAGCTGCTTGAKCCTTCARAAAYWGCTTGGCTGATTRTCAGYGGTCGAGGGTGAGGAAAAGGAAGCAAACCTGCATGCTTTGTTCACTGGCAGGGGAGCACCTTTTTGTGTTTCATAATCTTACAGGTTGCTTATTACCTGGTGTTCATCTTGTACACAGGAGAAGAATGACAGTTCATTATCAGCACAGAAATTGGAATGCCACAGTATATTTTTATTTGTTTTGTAACATTAAAGATGAAATTGTCCYTTTCATGAAGTTTCCAGAGATAAGTGTAATCGTAAGGATTCCAAAGAGAAAAAGGTATGAAATGCTTTTAATTACCTAGATGCAAGAAAACAATAAAGGCAAAACGTTTTATTAAAAATGTATGTCAGTGGTGGATTTTACATCGTGAGTAAATAACACAGAAATACTAGATTTAATGATTTGAAGCATGACCACATAGTTTGTTGTGTTATTGATGGAATTGCAGCCCCTTTCTCAGGAGTATAATCCAAGTTGGTTTACTGCAGCAGGGYAGAATACGTGCAGGTAGTCTGCAGCTTTCCTTTGTGAGGGCACAGGCACACCTGGTCACTCCGTGCATCCCTCATTCAAGGCACAGATGTGTTTCCTTGCTTTGGGATCACATTTCTCCTTTACAGCAAGGAGCAGGACGAGCCACCTGCTCATCACACAGCTGCTGTCGTGCAGGAGCCAAGCAAGGGTCACTGCTGGGCTGGGCTTCGTGTGTGACCGCTCCTTGGATTCGGAGTGGCTATTTTTTGCCTGCGGAAGGAAGCAAAGGGAAGGCCCGAAATGTGTTTTGCATTGTTCCTGCCGTCTGCACAGGAACCTGCTGAGAAGCTGCAGGAGGGAAGTTTGCCCACAAGAGGGCAAAGATGATCCTGTGATTGAAATTATTCGGTCTGAAGGACTCCATCCTCTTCCCGCCTGCATTTCCAGTGGGATTGAAAGCCCCATGCCCCTCTGTTGTCAATGTCAGGCTATAAATTGAACTGTGCATTTTAGGGATACCRTTTCCAATATTTTTCTTGTTTCTCAATATGTAGTTTGAAGGATTTTTGGCAAGATAATCTCATCAATATTGTCTCAAGGAGATRCTTTTCCTGAGCAGTTTGAAAGGGTTTTACTTGTATTCTTTGTGTTTTGTAACCTGCCAAAAGATGTTTCTAAAAATTAAAATCCGGCTTCAGCTGCACAACAACACCTGTACTAAGAACACCACATCGCAGCTTTGGAGAATTTTGTGGTCCGTACTATGCTGTGGTTTTCAATGAAAGGTCTGTGGATCGCGGGTGGGAGAGGAATGGAGTAGGGYGTACCTGAGCATTTCCTGGGCTCTTGGGAAGTTAAATGAGGGAAGCTTATTATCCAAAAATGCAAATTATGTCTGATGGAAAAAAAAMCAGGGCCCACAAACAGAAATGTTGGCAACCATAGCTGTAAAGCATGCCAGACGGGACTTCTTGCAATTCCAGTCCTCTCCAGGCATCCCAGTGAAACTTGCTTTGACCAGCCCACGTGCCCTGATCACTCACTCAGTTTGTTTCTTATGACCTATTATCTCTTGGCTGAATTATTGGTGGGAAAATAAACCAGACTTGGCTGTTTTGAAGTTGGYAAGTCCTGAGGTGAGAGTCAGGCTTCATGAGGAGGTGACAGCACAAACACATTCTTCTGCAGTGTGACTCATRTGCAGCCAGCTGGGGACAGCAAATACCCAGTCAGGTAAGCACTGCTAAGTGTGCTGCATGAAGGCAGGTACATTCYGCAGTGGTATATGTCAAAACTCCTTTTAGTCCTCACTTGGACTTACAGGAAGCATAATATTGTAAGACAAAGAGCATGACAAGCTTTTTGTTACCATATGCTCTACCCTTGTTTAGAGAATGGCGTAATGTTGCCTAAAATAATACAGGTCTGTCTGCACTACAGCCTCCTTTTAACTACTTCCTTTGCACCAGCTGTTCCTCTCCCCAAAATATCAGTGCAGACGTGATTCTGAAATCCCTGCTCATGTTGAGCTGTAGGTGAGGAAGGGACARTTACTTAATTGTTCTGTGGTCTCTGCACTCCCCTAACCAAAGGCATGGAGCTGCTATCCTGGAGTGAGCAGTAAGGCATCCTCAGTGAGGAGGACAGACTCATCATTCTTATTTTCATTAACACATGTTTTTAGTCTCCTTTACCTGTCTGTTCAGT